GGTATTTGCTTCTAGGTAAGTGTTTTTCTATTTTTTTTTAAAGCTAAATACATTTTAATAAAATATTGTGATCTTTTTTAAGCATAAGACAGTGTCCAGACATCATAGTTCCTAATAAACATTTATACATAGAGTTTTTAGACTAACAACAATCCACAAATGAAACTAAAAGAAATACAGAATAAATTTGTTTAACGCAGCTGCATGTTGAGTGCAATCTGAGTTTTGCCTGAATGGGGTCAACAAAAGGAGCTCGATCAGTCATGGCACTATTCAGAGAAAACAATGAACAGGGACATAGAGCTGACGATGAAATGAGTTACTGATTTCCAATGGCCCATTTATCTGAGACAGAAGACAGGCTTTAACTGTCCCCTCAGTGGGATGGCTGTACTTTAACCTCTTCCCTGTCTCACCTTCTCTCTGCAGCACTTGCCATTCCCCTGCAATCCATGCATTTCTAGTGGTGTATAGGATTGTGTAGTGTGTCACAGGGATGTTGGGTTCATCTGGAAGCTTCCATGAAACCAGTGCTGCGTCCCCCTCAATCAGAGTCACTTTCACGTTTGAAGGAGGCAGCATTGGAGCTGTGCAAGGATAGATGAAAAGAACTGGGTTAAAAATTTTACATGTCAATTGAGTGCCTTCACTTTTGGAAATTTGTTTCAGCTTACCGTCAGGGAAAGTGCTCTCGTAGACCACAGGGCTCCAGGGGCTAGATAACTCATCAAGGTGAAGGCGAACAGCAAACTCATATTTGGTGTTTGCCTCCAGATCTTGCACTAAGAGGCTCTGCTTACTCCTGCAGAAGACAGAGAAGTGCTTTAAATTCTGAAATTTGATTTTCAGAGGCTATGAGTGTTAACTATGCAGGTCAGACTTGGTAAAAGTTGTTGATTAAATTTCTATCAATATGTTTGAAAGCATTTTCATGTAAGGTAAGGTCAGGTAAGGTTTTGAACATTGACCAGCAGAGGGAGATATTGAGCTGTAAAGGGACTTTGAAAGAGGCAACATAGACACATTGTAAGTTTACAGCAGCACCTGTGAGTAAAATATCTCTTTAAGAATTGTTCTCACATGTCGTCATTAACGTTGTAGTTATACAATGCATTAAAGCATTTTTACTATTAGGGCTCAACAATTATGCAGCCAGAGAACAAAACACATATTCCTGTTATACACCTGAGTAAAACAATAAGGTTTAGCATTTTTTCTGAAATTACACCATATTTAATAGTCTTCAATGTTTTTAATTGATAAACTGTATATTTTCAGTTGATTGGAAGCAATAGTTAAGAGACTTTAGCTAAGTTGCCATAAAGACGACTTCCCAATGTTCCAAAAACCAGTGGGGGTAGACTTCAATACTACTCACGTTGGAAGGTACAGCACCAGAGAGGCGTTCTGCAAACCCACAGGGTTGCAGCGGACTGTGTAGTCGACAGCATGGTTAGAGGTAAATGCAGGTCGACCCCAGTGTAGAAATACAGCAGAGGAGCTGTTAGTCTTGGCATAAACGTTGTGAGGTGGAGGTGGAGGGGGTACAAGCCGATCTCGAACAGCTGAAAGATGCATTCATCACTATTGAGCAGTCACAACAACAGAATACTACCAGTTGTCAGGGAAAGAAAGGCACTTACAGACACATCCAGGTGTACTAATAGTCTGGTCAGCCTGGTAACCGTCTCCCACAAAATTATAGGCCAGAAGTTTAACATGGTATTTCTTCCTTGGATCTATGAAAAAAGCAAGACAGGAAATTAAAATACTTAAAAAAATTGAGTTATTCATAGAAAATGGTAATTAATAAAGTGTAATCATTCAACATGTATTTATGGGATAATTGAGATTTATTCAACCAATGGGAAGCATGGGTGCTACATAAAAAAAGACAGAGCTGGACTAAGTGGGTGTGGGGTCAGTGAGGTTTTTCTAGTTTGGTGGTGTGGTGGGAACAAGAGGTGAGGCAGTGTGACAGATGCCTGGTGTTGTAAGTCCTTTGGTCATTTTCAGCAGCACTCAGGGCAGCAGAACACAAGCGCTCCACTATCCATCACCCTGTCACTAGGTCTTTTCAGAGCAAATAAGTAGACCCTTTCTCCAGCCCCAGTCCAGTCTGATGGTCAGCAGTCACTGACCACTCTTATTTAGGTCCAGAATCTAGGGGTTAAATCGACAGACAAAATCCCCTGGGAAGGACTCGTCTGTTGGTCAACAGCAGTAGTGGACTGCCGTGACCTTTTCTGATGAGCAAAAGACATCTGAACAAATGTTCATTTTACCCTGTGAAGCGGGGATGTCCAACCACAGGGCTGTGGAAAATGTGTCTAAAAATAACTTTTGGACAAATTAACACAGGATATAAGTAAAAACCAGGATAACATGTCTGTCCTACTAGAAACAGACCACAAAACAAACCTTTAGTTTGAGGTGTTTAGGGGGGGTCGAGAGAACACAGGAGATGAATGTGTGTTCATGAAAGTTAGAGAAGTTAGGAGGGGTGAAGTGGAACTACTTCTACCCCCACGCAGCCCTGAGGAGTATCAATGGAGCCAGGCCAGGGCCAGCAGGTCAGGTTAAGACAAAACTTCTACTCCACTCAACTACTTTACTACTCAAAAGTAGAATATAAGATGAACCTGTCTTGCATTTGGAATCTAGGGTCTGATAGGTAAACGCATCTTTGTAACTGCCTGACAGGGCATGTAAAAAAAGCACATCTTTGCAACAATTGTTAAAAGAGAGACAAATCTGTATTGTTAGCTTCTAGCAAAATATATATACGTAGTATAAAACACAGAGCGTATCAACATTGAATCAGCAAACGTGTTTCCACAAAATACCACAAACAATCAGAGAAAAGGGATTTATCTTGTGCCTGATGTGCTATTTTGACTTGTCTGCAATTTTTAAAGCCTGTCCACCTCTAAAGAGAGGCAGCCATGTAGAATGCACCTCTACCCAGCCCCAAAATACAATGGGCCTGGAGTAATTACGCGAGAGAGGAGCTCTGAGAGGGGGGAAGCTGTGACATCTGGGCCACGACCTTTGACATGGAATCTCGGCAAGCTAAATCCTGCAAAAGGAGGGGCTGCGGGGATCTTTCTAAAGGGGGAGGGTCAAGCTGAGTAACCCAGTGGAAAAACCAGGAAAACACCAAGAGTCAAAATAAAATGGCACTTAATAGCTGGTGACAGTGTCCTGATAAGAGGACAACCCAAAGGGACAGGTTTGTTCTTCTGTCACAGTGAACTGATACCTGAACCTCTCAATAACAATAGATACAATATCAGTGATCTGTGTTACACTCGTCACAACCAGGAAGAAAACTTTGCATTAGTATTGTGAACGTACCACTCAAACAGATAACAATATTATTAAGGCATTACAGGTTAAAGTGACCACAATACTTTTTGGTCTTTGGTTTTTTGGTCTTTTTTTAAATCATTTTGCAAGTGTTTTAAGGTGTTTTAGTCAGTAGGCTTGATGTCACAGATTATACATTAAATGTTGTTAAAGGCAAGACTAGTGTATATACCCATAATGTTTTTAGACTCAAGGTACCCAGTCCAGGGGAGGAATAAAAGGTGTATTTTGTATATCCAATGGACAATTTCCATCTTAAAAACTTGATGAATAATCTGTGCATGTGCACAGGTAAAGTTATAAATATGACTTTGGTGACAATAATCCATGTAGCGTTGGTTGAAAGCAGGCAGTGACATTCCTTTAGTAAATAAGTTCCTCTACTCCATACTATCTGATTTGTTCTTTTTCAATAAATCAAAGAATTGCATGAAAAGGCCAAATTTGAGCCATTTGTGGTCACCCTTTTTTTACAACCAAAATGCTGAGCCTGTTGGTTTTGTTCAACCCTGTGAAAGGCCCCCCAGGCCGTAGCAAGCCAGGCCTGAGCAGGGGCCATAAATGTCAACTCCTCTACGAACCTTCACACCAACATCTATTCATCACTTTGCCCTCCTCCCTCTTTCTCTGTAACTTTCTGTCTTTCTGTTTTTCTTTTAAGGAGAAAACCAACACACAAACACTAAAATACTAAATAACAGATACAATAATGACCACAGCAATGTAACAATTCACCTGAAGCGCACACTAGCCCCTGTATAATGATAGGATTTAGTAGATGCATGATGGCCTGCAGCTGTGACATAAATCTACAGTTGTGCACACCACGTTGCCTGGTGCCAGCAGCTATGAGAGGTATTTAAACTCATCACTGCAGCTACTTCACATGGATAAAGCAGAGAACACATGAGCAAGGAAAGGTCACATCACTGTCATTAAAACCACACAGGAGGCTCACATACAAATTCCTCTCTCTTTTAGCGAGCCTTTCATCACTTATATGGCGCAATATCTAAAAATGGTATGTCCAGCTTCTGTGTATCTTCTGCTGCTGTATACTGAACAGAATCAACAGGATCTGGTTTTGCCTCAGTGTATGGTTCAGGAATCAATGCTATTGGCAGGAAAGGGATGGTTGCTGTGTTCAACATCACAGCGATTATAGGAAATACCATTTACCGTACGAGGTGATTTTATTTTTTGAGATCAGCTGCTGGGAAAAAAAAAATCAACATTCAATTATCAGACCTGAGGTCACAAAGTCCATAATACAGCATGTAATGCACCAAACTCACTATTCAATAGAAAAAACATCAATATAATACAATATAATAATTTATACGTTATAAAACATTTTAAATAATAATAATAATATAAGATAATTTGTACAATACCAACCCTATTCAATTTGAAGAAAAGTCAATTAAGTCAGCAAGACAGTCCTCTGCAGTGTGATAAGTTACCAAAGAGAAGGTCATCAACACCAGTAGCATTAATCCAACACACTGCTGCAGATGTGGAGAAAATCAAAAAAAGAACTGCAGGACATTGAGCTCACAAACTCTTTCATTGTTTGATTTACATCTCATGGTGAGAGGCTGTACGTATTTCCTTAAGGTTTTGGCCAATAAAATGTCTTTTGTGGTCTTTAAAAGCCAAACACAATGAGAGACTTTGATGTAAATGCTTCTCCAGAATCTCTGCTCAAAGCAGTCATAAAACACATAATAAATCAATGTCAATAAATCCCTTTCTTTATAAAACAGCCCTGCAAAGAGTGTTTTTCAATGAGAAACAAAAAAATCTCTCTGTTAATCAAAAGAAAGCAATTTTTTTGTTTGTACAAAATTGGCTTCATATTTGTCGTCAGCTTTTACCATTTGCCAGGACACCCTTTTCATTTATAGACTGACCCTTATGATTAAGCTGCACAAATACCTCCAATATCTGAATACAAAAAACACACATTTGTAGGAGTTAAAAGATAACATATACTATCATTTTGTGCTCCTCCTCATTTTTTACTCTCCTTCTCATCCTGACCTAGCACTGGGCTTCCTGATTTACAAGTCAGCTGCTGACCACCTGGTTGACCCCCTCTGGCCACAGATGGTCAGTTGTCCAAAGCATTGGCCTGAGCCCCCGCCTTTCGCTCTCAAATAAAAAAGGTCAAAATGAATCTGACCCAAAGGCCAGAAGAGCTGTGATATCCTCAAACACCATCCAGCAGCTGCTAAAAGAAGCTCACACATTCTAAGAACCCTCACAGAGGTTTGGAGGTCATGAAAGTGGGATGTGGTTCTGACTGTTCCACGTTTTACGACACCTCTGCTTGTCACATGACAAAACTTTGGCTCATTAATCACTCAGAGTTGGTTATATCTTGGCTGATGCCTTTAAGCAGAATTTGTCCATAATTAAATACATCACTTCACTGTTTTTTGCTTCTACAAAATCCAGTTTGATATTCTATAAAATAATGTCAAGGGGTTATGTTTGTAAATGTGAGTAGAGGTGAATAAACCTTCATTGTTTTTAAATTTCTATTTTATGTATTTCCTCATATGGCTGAAAGCAATAAATCTAATTAACATTGTTTAACCAAAACATCTATAACAACATCAAGCTGATTTGAAACCAGACTTACCAAGACCTCCAATAGTGAATGCCTTGTCTGTGGAGCGTAGCTGGATCGGGGCATTCTCAGGTTGGCTCTCCTCATGATAAAAGAGTTTGTATCCTTGAACACCAGCTGAATTTCTAGTTGCCAACTGCCACTGAGCCAAAATAGTAGTGCAGTTTAAAGACTCCAAATGCAGTTCTGGAGCCAATGGAACTGTTAAGAGTAAAAAAGTAAAACTGTTGTTAAGAGTTTTTTCTCAAAAACAAAACTTGTTTTTAAAAAAAACAGGAAAGTGTTGGTTGTTTGTGTACGTGACAGCCAGACAGAGGAGTCTTTGCTTTGAAAAGTGAAACTACCATTTGATACTCTACCAGCTGTTTCACACTCAGGGCAGGGAAAACAACACTCACAGTAATGGGACTAATCTCATATATTTTTAATTTTAAGAATCAGAAGAAAAAGGTAAGCCAATATAAGACCTGCCTATCAATTAGAGTGCATGGCACTAGAGATGGGCAGGAAAAACAAATCCACCCTTCCCCCACTTAAAATCTCAGATGTACCTCTGAACAGCCATATA